GAGCAGCGCCGTGTAGTTCACTGTGTAGTTCCCCCCCCCCAATTAAAACAAAAATAACAAAAATGTTTAAAAAATGCTGCTCGGAGATGGAGGGGAAACATAATAAGCGAGCAGATGGGAGGAATAAGCCACTGTGACTCCATACGTAAAATGGCCATGGAGGCGGTGAAAAATGAAACTAAAAAACAACTGTTTTCTATTTACAAATTTAAATAAACAGAACAGCCTTCCCCGCGGTGTTTGTCTAAGTGCAGCAGCATTGCTGCTGTGTAGGTCATGAAAAGGTTGGTGCATAGTTTAAAACTTCCCATTCTGTTAATTTCTTAAAGAACAGTCGTTCATAGTCTGAGCACAAAAGCTCATGATTTAATGAGGAACAGAAACAAAATCTCTGATTGTTGGTGTTTCAAACTTCATTGGAGTCCTCTGGCAACCACAAGTTGATCCTCTGCAGCTTCAATACCCTTTAGCCCTCCATATAAGAGTACATGCTGAATAGAGGACAATGCCTGGTTGTTATGTTTATTTACCCTTACTACAAGCTGGGTTAACCTCTTCAAAACAGCTTTACTAAGCCCGTTAACCACACGGCCCACATGACCTGTAGCCGTATCCCTAATGTGATGTAAATCTGACTCCAGACCATATGCACAAGTTCTGCTGCATTGTGCCTCCGAAAACTACAAGTTTATTGCCGTCCAACCCTTCCTGGGCTCCACGTTTCCAGGAGGAAATGGTCTGAATAGCAACCGCTTAAGAGAAAGTCAAGAGTCTTGCATTGTTGGAGCAATATTTTTAATGGCTGTTGCACATTTACGGGGGAGAGGGGAAGAGAAGTCCGCACCGGATAATGATTTTCTTCGCAATTATTTCAACCGGTGGATAATTATTCAAGACTTTGCCCTTTCTGGTGGGGCTTCTACACAAGCGCAGCAAGAAGCATAGATAAAAATAGAAGCGATTTGACCCGATTTTCAGTTGTTATTTTAACAGAGCTCACAGCTTGCATTTTGCATTTATTTATGACTTTAGTGAAGTCATAATCCTGCATTTGTAGTAGTTATCATGATGTCACACAGTCAGTGAGGTGACTTCATTGCAGGCTACGAGTACATGGGCCGTACAGGAGTAAGCAGTGCTTTCAATCTCGAATAGTTTTTAGTAATTAGCAATTCCGGCAAGTAATTATGACAGATCTGCAAAATGTAAATGAATTTTGGCTTAAGCCTCACGTATTTAATTTTTTTCCCCCAAGTATAGTCATCTTTTAAAACAGCTACTGTGACCACATGGTGAGAGCTTCATTTACCAGATCATTTTTTCTTGATGGCTGTGGCAAGCGTAACAATGTTCTGTGCCTGCTTCAGTAATGGCATGTCTATCATACTCCCATGGAAAGTAAAGGCTCCCTGGAAAAGAGAGAATATAAACTTCCTGAAAGGACCTTTGGAAATTGTCATTTTCTTTTTTTCTTTTTCTTTTTTTTTTTTTTAAACACATCCGCAAAGCAGGAAATGGTAGATCCCACAGGAATCTTGAACAAGTTTCAGAACAAGACAAACTCACCAACATGAGGCAAATACAATACATTTAAAAAAAATGCGGTTGAAGTTGAGCACTTGAAAGAAGAGGCAAAAAGAAAAGGGGGGGGGGGGGAAAAACAAAAGCCCTGTATGTAGCCTGCCTGCTTTAGCCTCTCTAGCTGACCACCCAACGGGGCAACGCAGCAGCCAGGCCGTGGGTGCCAGGCCAGGCAGGTGGCACGGAGCCTCAGGGTGAGCGTTCAGCCGGGGCTCTGTGTGTGGGTGCCACAGGGGTGGCACAAAACCGTCTGTCGATGGTTACAGCCAGTTAACCGACAGGACAAATCGTTATCTTCATCAGGAAACAGAAATGGGCTTTTCTGGGCAGGTGGAGGGAAGTTTTCTTTTCCTCATTTGGGTGTGTTTTGGAAAGTTGTGCTGCTTTGCCTCTCCCTTCAGTCTCGTGTGCTAAAGATAAACTGGGCTTGTGAATAGAGTAAGGTGGTGGGATGAAAACGGAAAAAGCAAATGGCTGTTGCACTAATATTTCCCAACTCTACCCTGCTAACAATTTAAAGCCCACCTGAACATTTGTACATACAGGGAATTTCCCAGAATTACTCCAGAACTGGCCAACATGTCACAGGAATGATGATCGCAGAGTCAAGGCAGATTTTAGAAGTCACTTTCTATTTCCAAGGATTTTGTGTTGGTATCATGGTGACAGGTGTAAAATAGTTAACTGTAGATTGCAGTTAAACACAAGAAACATCATGTATTAAGTAGAGCCACACCTGACTTGTTGCTTTGGATGCTTTAATCTACATTTGTGTTGATGAAATAGAATTTTGAAGATAAAGTGCTGTGCAACAAGATATCCCAAAGTTCAGTAATCAAACGACAAAAAAATCTTATCTGTAATTCTGACTGTACTTTGACACGTTCTTGAAAAAAGAGAGGTGGACCTCCTTCCCCTGAAGAATTTAGAAATGAAGGCCCTGCTGCAGCATTGTGTGGGATGTCTCTGTGAAGTACTGCTCCCTTTTCATGTCCTGCTGTAATCCATACAGGATCACAGGCCAATTTTAGGTTTGACAGTGAGTGAGACTAACCAAGAACAGAGTAAGGAAAGATAGCTGCATATGTGTACATGTATGCATAGGAAGAGAAATGCAGAGTAGAACAAGCAATTTTTTTTTTGTTTTTCATGTATGGAGTGATAATAATTAAATGGAGGAATCTAATAAGTAAAGTGAAAATATAAACCATTTACACAAATTTTTATGAACGGTGCTGCTCCAGTGGCATATTTAGCTTGACTAAAGCAGCATTAATTAAATACTAAATCACATTTTATGCCAACTAAGACAAAAATCCACCTTAAACAGTAAATTAATACAACAGAATATTGTTGTATGTGGGAATATGCTATATTAAAGCCATTAAAAGCCTAATTTTTAAAACTATTATTCTGTTCTAAGCAGGATTTCATACTGCAGTGTGATATCCTAGGCAGGTTTGGAGAAAAATGGGACTGACAGATACTCCATGATAAATGCTTCAAATCTAATTTCGCATTTACAGAACAACCAAGCAACCCTACATAAGTAATAATAATAATATACTTTTTTATCTTTGCAACGTCTCAGCCATTTTCACTTACACTTTTAAACCTTTACAGAAAATACAACCTCAAACTGTTCCCTTTATTAATTGTTGTGAAATTAAGTTAGGAGCTAAGTAATCATTTTATGACACAGGACTTCTGTAACTCCTTCTCCAGAAAAATTCGGGTCTATGTAGTGGTCTGAAAGTACTGGTTAGTGCAAGATACATATTTGCATAGCGAGAAAAACATCTTTTAATTGTGGCTATTTCTCTGCAAGTATTCAGTCAAATAATAGCTATTGTTTGAAAGAGAAATTTGCAGGCAGGATAACAGTGATAAGTAGAGACACGTTAAGGTCTGGAATCATCCTTCCTAGCTTTATGCAATAGCTGAATTAGGAGCACTGTTATTCTCAGTGCTGGCAATAGTTCACAGCAAAAGATAGGCACCAGCAATGGCAATTCTGTCCTGGGTAGACTCAGTCATGATCTGGAGGGTCCTATCCTTTCCACTGACTGTATAGAGGATGCTCTTAAGTTGGGCACCTTTGTCAGTGCCTAAGTTGAGCCGGATGAATCCGGGCCAGAACGTCTCTTTACCAAGCAGAAGTTAGTTAAACAGCAGGTCTGTCTTCTGTTCTTTAAAATAACGAGTTGTAAGCTTGAAAAGGAGAACAGGGTAACAGTAGATATACTCATGAACGCTGAATCGCTTTAGGTATGCAGTTTATTCTCCTGTCAATGTGTATCTGTAATTTTGATTGGTATTAGTTTGAATTCTTGAAGGAAAAAAAAAAGTGTTTTTCTAACAGTCAAGAGTAACATGAACAAGTTGGCTTCTCTTCCTGTTCACTCAGGCTTAATTTCTGCCTGCTAATTTGCAGTGTTGAGCTAAAGTCCAGAAAAAGAAACCAATTTTGGTGCCATTGAATATACTCTATTTCCACAGATAGGAAATACCAATAATTACAGCTTTGTCCCCATGCTCTCTTTTCCAATTCTGTTAGATGAAATTTGCCTTTAACATTCTTTTGATTTTCTTTCACATTAATATAAAGAAAACAAGACTTTCCGTAAACACCATTTACTTTGATAGTGTTAACCTGCTGATTAATTTAGTCATAGATCTAAATTTTCTTTTCGGCTAATTTTCTTAATAATCTCACATTTCCAGCCTGTACTTAGACTTCCAGTAGTTAGACTGTTGGATCACAAGTCGGTTCTTAAGAAAACTTGTGGCGTGAATTGGAACGACTTTTAGTGTGTGCTGCTAGGCTGGGGTTTGGATTATTTGTGTTGTGTTGTTTTGGTTCTCGCTCTCCACACTGCCAGTATAAATCATTCAGTGGGAGCCTTTTCAGAAAGGTTCCTGCCTTCAGGTGACTCCAATGTGTAAAACATGCCCTTGAAAGTAACAGCTCCTCAACATAAAGACTGACAGAGGAGTCGGGAAAAGGAGCAGCCAGAAGGCAAAGCCTGAGACGGTGTGGTGGGTGAGCACAGCTGTAGGGTGATAATGTGTAGACAAAAGCAACCTGGATGACACGAGAGGTGAGCAGACCGAGGACAACTGCAGCAATTGTTGTACTGGAGGCTGGAGCTGCAGCCTTTTTGTGGAAGGGACAGAATTATGGGCCAAAAACACTACATCCATTTTAGGCAATCCAGCACGCATTCTGCTTTCCTTATCCAAGGCCGTCCTTAATGCAGCAACACAGTGAACATCCTAAAGGTGTATCGTTATGAGAAGTATGGTGACTTTTGCACTCACCAGCTTCTAGAGTATGGAAGCTGCAAGAGCTCTTTGGCTCGCCTAAAGTGAACAGCTGTGAAGACAGCACAACACAGGAGAGGAGTTTGTATTTGTACAACCTTTGACTTCGCTCAGCCTGAGAGCTGCGTGCCTCTGTCAGGAAGACTATCGGGGAATACCAGGAAAAACGCAAGGAAGAAAGGTGAACAGGCAACATTTCCCATTTGGGTAATTATGCAGACTAGTTAGAGGTTTTCCCAGTTAATTGACAAACGAGGAAAGACTCAAAGATATTTCCTTTGTGGCTTGCTCTGGGATAGCGCTCAGAAATAAAAAGAAGGCAGGCCCATCCACCTCTTCTTCTCTCTGCCAGGTTATTGGACCTGCCCACAGCGCCCGCAGAGCAGTCATTTCCTAACTCTACCTTTTGTATCAGGCCACCCTCTCCAGGCTGAATGATGAACGACCAGTACTACACAACTTGCTGCATGCCCCAGGCACCATGCCATGCTTGAATGCAATAAATTCACAACGACATTTAATGCTATGTTAAAACAGTAGTAACATTAACAAACGTAACAGCTATTTATGCGAGGTGCAGGCCGTGGCGAGTCACTTAGCAGCTCTGCTTTGAATTTCACAGTGTCCTAAGTACTTTGAGAAGGGAACAGAGAGGGCTTTTGGCAAATACAGAAAGCAGCTGGAAAGGAATTAAAATTATGGAAGGCTGCTGATTTTTTCAGAAGGAAACAACAAAAAATAATAGACCTGGAAAAAAAGAGAATTGAGCATGGTCAGCCCCAGATAATACAAAGATCCAGCCTGCCAACAAAGGGAGTGATAATGCAGAGGTGACAGAGTCATTTTCCCAGGTCAGGAGCCAAGGAAACAGGCCTATGCAAAAGGAGACAAGTTAAGCATTAGGAATAACTAATGGAAGAAGTTTCCAGGGCCCTGAGAGATTGAGGAGATTCAGAACCAAACTTTTTAACACATCAGCTTGTCAGGGCTTATGCTTATACTTTATGAATCTGTTTGTGGAGAAGTGTAGCCACTACCAAAACCAACTGAGATCTAGCAAAGTTCACTGTATATTTGGTGGCTAGTCTTTGACAGCTTAGAAGACGACTCTGGCCATGTGTTGTCCTGGATCTTGGACACGGTTCTTGAACAGGTCATATGGGTATGTCATCCTTAAAGATTTCCTTTACCTATAACAGGTGGAATGTGTGAAGTCACAGAAGGAGTTTCAGCATTGGTCTGTTCATGTCAAGGCCAAAAGATGAACATTTTAACACAATGGTTCTTGGAATATAAAGTCCTTCTCTGTGCATGTGTGTGTGTGTGTTTGTGTGAGATAGCATCCAGAAACTTTTCATCTGTGAAAACTTTGGGAGTAGTTAAGAGCTTTGTAAATCTACCTTACCCTTTCATCAAAAGAGTATAATTTTCTCATGGCAGGAAGAATTTTATTTTTTTAGAAAGTAAATGGATGGGATCCAGAGCCAATGATTTCTGTATCTGC